TGTAACTTGTTGTTTCTTATTTGTCGTTCCATTTTAAGTTACAGGATGTTAACTTTGCGAAATTGTGCTTTATGCGTTGTATTGGACGTTCCAATGTTGGTTAAATTGCATCGATATTGAAAATCATGTTTTGACATTCTAATAAAGCTTATGATTGATCTATTGATTCATTTATAACATAGACGTTAGGTGGCATGAACCACTACTATTATTTTGTGCTTCAGATTCTAAGTCGATGGCTTTGAGAACTTAAACCTTATTGCATTGTATAATATGCTCTTTTGTTGTTGAATTGCATGGATAATGTGATTCTTGTTAACTTGTATTCAAATATGCTTTTGTCATGTTGTATGGATTACTCTAGACCTAGTTCAATTGTATTGAAAATGTAATTCATGTTAATCTATGCTCAAGCATTCTTCTTGTCGTGTTTTTTCGGATTATCCCAACCATGATTCGTTTCATACACGTATGTATATCATGATTCTTGTTGCTTAGACTCTAAGGTAGCTTAGGATGCTCCCCGAGTCTCACTTGGACATAGACGTTAGGTGGCATGAGCCCCTTTAACATGTTTCACCTTAAGGTGATAAATTTGTAAAATGTTAGGTCGATGCATGCTCATCTCCTACGAGTAGCTTTATGTTACTCACCCCTACGATACTGGGGTATATTTCAGGTATGAAGAATTGGTTCATGACGCCTAGCATTCCTTGGATGTCGTGTAGCTTTCAAGTTTCCATTTCATGCAGATGTTAGCATGAAATGTCATTTTGTAGACTTATATGTCAAAATATGTATATTTGATTCCATGTATGTAATGTGTACTTAAGTATACTCCTTTCAATGTATTTGATGTGTATGAGATGAGGCCGGAGGCCAGTGACATGTATATTGTATTCTATGTACTTTTTAACTTCATGAAATATTGTGAAAATCTTGAAAAATCGCAAGTCATTGCTTCACCATGGTTGCATCAGGTGTGGGAGTTCCGTTTTCATTCTTTCATAGGGTCTTATAAATCATGTTTAAAGTGTGGCCAAGGGCCAAACGGTCATTTGATCTCGTTTTGTATTTTTGGATTCTGAGTTTTCATTCCAAGTTCCATTTTTGCCTTTTTGCCCGTTGGGGGGTCGGGTTTTGTATCGGTGGTATTTTTAACTCGAGGACCATTGTAGCACGTCCAAAGAGGTAAGTTACGCTTGCGTGCATGGTCGTTTCCGGGCAAAACCTTATCGTTTGTGTTTTGAGCCTCTTGTGAATTCATTTCGCATTTTTTTTGCATATTCTGATCGAAGGGCATTTTAGGGATTTCACAGTGAATTTTTTTCAATTCTGTCCATATTGTTGGGTAGAAAACTCGATTTTAGGGGGGGTTTCTTCTTCGTGTTTTTCCAGAAAAACTCGTCTTGACCTCCGTTTCAAGCCTCAGTTCTGGGCAGATAAAAAAAAAAATGTAACAGCAGCCAAGGGCTGCCACCAGCCATGCCTTTGGGCGCCGGCATGCACGCCGGTGGGCTCGCGCATGGGCACCGTGTGCGCCATGGCCCCTTCGTCGGGCCGCCGCGACGTTAACTCTTCTTTTGGGCTTTTTTCCTTCGTCCGGACTCCGATTCAAGTGAATTTTTGTTTGAACTTGACTAATTTTTTGCTATCTTTCCAACGGTGTGCTCGGTTGCACCTTGTTCTTCCTGGATAATTACCAGTTTACCCTTTTTGCCTTAAGTGCTCATTTTTCTTCGTCATGCCGTTTCTCCTTCGTCTAGACTCCGAATCATGCGATTCTTGAGTCCATCTTGATTAGTTTTTCGTTGTCCTTCCAGTGGTGTGCTCGGTGGCACCCGAATCTATAATTTTCAGAAATGACTATTTTGCCCCTGGGGGCTTATTTGTCATATTTTCGATTTTTGCTTCCGCATCAGTTCTTGTTGAGTTCCAAGACCTCATGGAAGGTCACTTTGAGTTCTTAGAGTCTTGTTTTCTGTTTTTGCTTCCGCATTCGGATCCGTTATCGGATCATCCTTACGGTTCATCACAGGACACGCTAGCCTAAAAACCAGGGTCGTCACATGAAGTACACTAATGAAGCCAAAATATAGAGGGGTCACGATGCTTTATAAAAAGATACAAGGAGTCATGATTAAACCGATGGAAGCATAAATAGAAATTTAATCTACTTAAGGGATTAAATTATCAAGATTACGAGACAAGTCCAAGTATTCTACGAGTAAGGCTTGTCAAGGATCATGTTAAGGACAAGTTCAATATCATGTTACAAGGTCATTTCATACAAGACACAACCATGTGAATTTAATTCCATACAAGGAAGATAATTAAATTGTAAGTTTCAAAACTTATCCGATTATTCTCAAATGGATGCACGTGAAGGAACTCATGAAGAAAATCGTGAATACAAGGTTAGACACTTAATCTAGCTCATGGAACCATTGGAATGGATTTTAATTAATTCTTTTAATTAAAATCTCTAGATTTTGAAATTCACCCAAATGGTCTCAAATTAATATATGTTATACAACATGTCAAGACTTGATTTAAAAGCATGATACAAGTACATCTCACGCAAGGTACGGCCATAAGTATTAAACTTTAATACTAGAAAAATAATAAGGTACGGCTATAAGTATTAAACTTTAATACTAGAAAAATAATAAATGATAGATTTCAAAACCTAATCAAATATTCTAGATCAAATATATGTGAAACCACATAGCATGCACATCATGAATATCAAGTTGGAATTCCAATGGAGTGAATAGTACACTCGAAATAAATTAATTAATGAAATTAATTAAATATTACTAGATTTCAAAATATCTCCGATTACTCTCAAATTTACCTATGTTGAAGAGTGAATTAAACACTACAACAAATAAGGTTTTCAGCGGCGGTCTAAACTACCGGTTTTAGGTACAAAAAGCATCGGTAATACCTATACCGGCGGTTCTCTAAAACCGGTATTACTCTAAAACCGCCGGTATAGTCACCGCCGGTAAGCTTCACCGGCGGTTTTTAAGCAACTGCCGAGTTTGAAATCATTATTGGTGGTCCAATAAAACCGCCGGTAAAATTTTAATTAACAGCGTTATTGTCTGCCGGTGTATTTTAAGTAAACTGTCATTGTAACTGTCTATTCCGGCACTTTGAAGGCGCCGGTAATGTATATTCTTTTTAGGGGTGTTTGTAACTGCCGGTGTTAGAATTAATCTCCGGCACCTTAAAGCGCCGGTAATGTATAATTTTTTCTTTTTAGGGGCGTTTTAAATCGCCGTTTTTAACAATATACTCAGGCAATTTAAAGCGCCGGTAATGTATAATTTTTTACTTTTAGGGGCGTGTTAAATTGTCGGTGTATTGTAAGTGAACTGTAATATTTTTTTCTTTTGGGGCGTTTTAAACCGCCGGTAATGTGTTAATTTTTTTTTAAAAAAATATTTTTTTCTGGTTTAATTTACATATTAGCAAATATTTTATTTTGTTCCCTGTTCAATGAAATCACATGTAATTTACCAATCACAACACATCCAACAACTTAAATTTGATATATAACATAGAACAAAGAAAGTTACATTAAAATTCAATAACATCCCATAACATATAAGTTTTGTTTCAAAATGTCAAGTGCTAATAAAAGGTTCAAAAGGAAATCATGCAAAATAAAACATCAACATTTCATTGAGAATTTGAGTGAGACTATGCGAGGGCCTTGAGAATTAATGGTTCAATTTCATCTCTCGTCTTCCTTCAAATTGCCCTACATACATTTTAAATAAAAGCCATATAATGCAAGCTCTTCTAGTTGTGTTTGCATACATATAATGGATAAGGAAACATAAAAAGATATAAAATATAAATTATAATAAATTTTAGTACTCATAATTTACACTTAATCAAACTAGAAAATAAATAATTGAAGGTCTAAAAAAATTCTTACAATCATTTTGGCAGCATGTTCATCACTAGCTTTGCTATCCTTCTTGCTCTTATGTGTTGCGCAAAATAGTTAAGCACGAGTTGGCGTCTTCCCTGATTCCAACTTCATCTATATATTTTTTTTTAATATATCTATATATATATATATATATATATATATATATTATAATTATATCGCACTGATGTATAATAAATTGTGTGACATACAAGTGATTAACTTCATAAAAAAATAGACTTAACCTTTTCAGCCTTCCGCGCATAACTCATTGTCCCAGTTGTGTGCAGCATTGTTTGCTTAGAGCGTTTTACTTCATTTTGTTGGCTTTGTTTCTAAAACAAAGGAATAAGAAGGTATATATTAGCCTTTTAAATTGTAAACACACACATGTTATATATGAGCTAAGTAGATTAATCCTTATTTTTAAACAAATGTTATATATGTTACAGGTTAAGTGAACATTAACTATGAAAAAATCAGCAGGATGTCTAACAACTAAATGATTCAACATTCTTTTGTACATTGACTTCCTCTTTGTTTTTACAACTAGAGTTGTCATGTAATATCATTTCTACTCCATTTATTAGCTTTTTGCTAGTTGCTTTTGCTTGTAATCTATATCAACTTCTAGTTTTCTGGTCAAATTATTTAAGAATAAATAGAACTTGGTTCTGCTACATTATTATCCTTTAAGGTTACATTCATTTCAGGTTGTAAATGACTTGTTGAATCCAGCGGGATAGAATCTAAGAATCAGAGAGGACACTTAGGTACCTTTTACCATTTTATTGTTATTATGATTTGGTAATTGTTATTGGCTGAACTTGGCAAAGCTTTAGCAGAAAATGTGTTGAATATGACACATACAAGGATACATCAAAAGCTTCTGTCTCTTAACTCTCATGACATACAAGCTGGAGCCTACATTTTTTTTATTTTTTTTGGATAAATGGGGCCTTTAGTTTTTGTAAGGTGCATATGGACAACTTTTTTTTTTTTGTCTTTGTTTTTTTTTTTTGGGGGGGGGGGGGGGGGGTGGTGCGTTCCAGAATTTGGTGTCAATTGTTCTGGAAATAAAGTTAATCCACATAAAAATATAGTGGATTCATAAAAGGAATGTATAGCATATTTCATCACAAATATTTAAATTAGTAAAAAGTCAAATCTTTAATTTCTCTGATAATTGTATGCAAGGCTTACATTTTGAACTTAAAACCTATCAAGGATCAAAGTCCTAAAAGCTCCTGGCTATGTATCATAATACCTCTCAATAAATCTATAGCCATGTGCTTAGTTTCAGCACTGGATCATGCTACCACTGTCTACTTCTTACTTGACCAGTTACACTTACAAATTCTAAAAGGGTATTTGAATGACAACTTATTTAAAATGTTAGATTAATTTCTTGGTGTAATATTGACTTTTCTCTCTCTACTTCTCTGTTCCTTGACTGAAAAAAACTAGAATAAAATGCTAGAAGCTAACTGAAAAAAACTAGAATAAAATGCTAGAAACTGACTAGGAAAAAATAGTAGAAACTGACTAGGAAAAAATGCTAGAAATCATTCAACAACCAAATCAAGCAACCAAACAGCAACCCTGAACCACCAATTCAGCCACCCATAGTAATCAACACCCGAATTCGAACTCCAACAACCAAATCAAGCAACCAAACAGCAACCCTGAACCACCAATTCACATGTCCTCTTTAATTATCCAATTGTAAATAAGCATTATCCAATTTTAAATACACATTAGATGGGAATAAACCTATATACATGGAATGATAAATCTAATATTATTAAATAACATTATGAATTACCTGTGCTGCCTCTGTACGCCAATATCTAATGAGATAATCCCATTGGTCCTCCTTAACACTTGGTGGTGGGTTTGCATATCATTGTTCATCTGTATGCCAAATTTTATAATAGTTACTTTTAATTTCACTCTTCCAATCTCTCCATTTATGACCAAGGGCTGATAATGTCCAATCTTTTGAGATTTCTTCTACTCAAACTTGCCCTGCATATAAAAGATAAATAAATAAAGAATCGAGTAATTCAAAAAAAATTTATTAACTCTAGAAATGAAATGTGTATACAAGTGAAATCAGTCAGTCAGAGATGTGAAGAGTCAAAAAAAAAATTACCTGTACCGTCGTCCACATGTCCTCTTTAACTATTTCAGGGACTTTCCTCCAATTTTTATAGTTCAAGGGAGCTGCAAGACCATTACGGGCAATTGTGCCCAAATAATTAGCGAAATTTTTTCATCGGCTCTATTAGGTTGTCCATGCTCATTCACACTGTAAAATGGTATAATAATAAATAAGTCATCGATTTGGACCAAATAAGTAAAATGGTATAATAATAAATAAGTCATTCACACTGTAAAATGGCTTCACTTGCATACATTTCCTAAAACTTTCTAGTCATTCAATGCCATCATTAAAATAAAGTCACCTTAATGGTATCAGGCTATTCTTTTTGGTGTCATGTTGTACCACATTTGCGCAGTGTGTGGGGCCTCGAGTCTTCTTCGGTGGTCTTAACTCATTGCTTTCAATAGTCCCCATATCCTCTTCTTGTGAACCATGAGAAGTATAGGACTGCGAATTTGAACCCTGAGAAAGTCCTCCATGCAATTCTAATTCCAAGTTTGTTGTTGCCCTACATTTCATTATGTTCCTGCATAAAGCTAACAAACCTTTGTTGCCATGTTTATTCAAGCTGGTAGTTAAGATGAATGTAGGCTGAATATATTAGGTCTTCAAAAACATCAAAATTTGGAAAAGTAACACACTTGAGAACAATTACAATATGCAATAAGGAAGTATAAATTTACTTAAGTATGATAGTACCACAATTTTATTTGTTTTAGGACAATATCAATTTGAAATATGTTAAAATAAATAAATAAATAACTAATATTATGTATACTCTTTTTACTTACCAAGTTATAAGAAAATGAGTAAGGGAGGGAGAGATGGAAAAAAAATCATAATATTCCATAAGCACGAAGCCAAAAAAAAGACGAAAATAAGAAAATGCAACATTATTTGCAGCATTTAAGAAAAAATTATCATCATTCTAAGTATGTTACTCATCCGAAATATCTTCTTTTTCCGTGTTTGCTGATTAAGATTTATCAACCATTGTTCCAGGCACATCACCTCTATCCCAATGAATGTGATCATCAGTTGCATTCGAGTGTAGAGAACTAAATGGTTGCTCAAATCCATAGGTCTCAGTATCATCTTCAGGAATATCATATAAATCACAAGGTTTTGTCCCTATAACAACATGCCAATTGTATCAACGGGTCTTGAACATAAAACACTTGCTCAGCCTGAGATGCTAGAATGAATGGTTCGTCAGTTCGCATCACACGTGAAAAATTAATGAGTGTAAACCCAAAATCATCCTCCTTTATCCCTCTACCTATAGAGAGTACATCAAACGAATCACACTTGAACAATACAACCTTCCTTTCCTCGTTGTAGTCCAATTCAATGATGTCAGTCAATAATCCGAAGTAATGAACATTTCCTGCAATAGGATTTTGATCACTGGCTCTTGCATAACTTGATGTGTGTGCTTTTAAAACAACACCACTATTTTGGGTCTTCCTCTGATTATCACAATCTCTAACATTAAACTTAAACCCATTAATCACGAACAACTTAAATCGTTTGGAAACGATATTAGGACCCCGAGCTAGCCATCTAATCTCATTAGGGATAGGATCCTCCGTATTCCGCAGCTGTATTTTCAAAGATGTAAGTTTTACAATAAAGTAAATAGCATATATAATATAAAATTTAATTAACCGTTCTATGTGTAGATACTTACACATTCATTAAACCACTTATGAAATGATAGATGAGACATTGATTGTATTTGTCATGGCTTTAAATTCCGTTGCCTTCTTTTAAGAAATTTCTTATGCTTTCTGTAATGAAAAAATATCATACTCTATATGTTATATTGTTAACAACAAATGAATAATAATAATAATAACAACTAGGTCAAATATTGTAAACTTTTCACTTACTCAATGAATTGTGTAGCTCCGTCGTAGTTAAATAACACATACCGATGAGCTTGTGTTTGACAATCATCATCTAAAACAATAATCTCCTGTTTTCCTAAGGCACGACCTCTAGGGCCAAAAGTAGACATCTCTTCTCCATCATCAAGGTTGTCATCATTCCTTGAGGGCCTATTGAACCTTGTCTCCACGATTGCTAGGTATCTTGAACAAAAATTTAAGCATTCCTCAGCTAAATACCCTTCTGCAATTGAACCCTCTAGGCGACTTCTATTGCACACATAATTTTTTAAGGTTAAAAGATACCTGATAGGATACAACAAAAAAATGAGAAGTATTTGCAATATTTAGTGGGGAAAAAAACCTACGAAAATAGTGGAAAAAAGTTAAACCTCTCAAAAGGATACATCCAACGATATTGCACTGGTCCTACGATCTTTGCTTCCTGAGCTAAGTGAATTGATAAGTGGACCATCACATCAAAAAAAGATGGTGAGAATATCATTTCCAATTTACAAAGTGTTAAAGTAATCTTATTTTTGCAAATTGTCCAACTCAGCCGGTATGAGAGTTTTTGAACATAATTCCTTATAAAAGTTACTCAACTCAACAAGTGTAGAGCATACATTCTTTGGCAATAGCTTGCAAATGGATACTGGTAATAGTTGTTGCATTAGGATGTGGGAATCATGGCTCTTTAAACCGCTAATTTTACGCTCTTTCAATTTCACACAACGTGATATGTTAGCTGCATATCCATCTGGAACTTTAACTTTTTTCAACGCCCGACAAAAGATTTTATTTTCAAGTAGAGAAAATGTGTAACTTGCCGAAGGCAAATAATATTTGTTTGCACCACATTCCTGGGGGTGAAGTGAATGCCTTATTTGCATCTCCTACAAGTCGAGTCTTGATTTTAAACCATCCTTTCCTCGACCCGGTTCATTCATCAAAGTATAAAGTACATTGTCACATATATTCTTCTCAATATGCATCACATCAAGATTATGATGAATAAGAAGGTGCTCCCAATAAGGCAATTCAAAAAATATACTCTTCTTCCTCCAATTGAACATTGGATTTTCATCCATTTCATCCACTTATGCAGCATTCCCCTTGCCATCATCCCCTTTCCCAAATGTTGGAAAGCTAATGCCCTCTAGTTCATGTAGCACTTCTGTTCCAGATAACATAGGTGGTGCACACCTAGTCTCTTCTGTTCCATCAAAAGCTGCTTTATTGCGTTTGAATCTATAACATTGCTTAACAAAATGCCTATAGCCTGTATAAAAAATTTTTTTGCTATGCTTTAACCTACAAGAATAAGTGCCTTTAAGACAAACTGGACAAGCCAAATACCCCTTTGTACTCCAACCAGATAAGTTTGCAAAAGCAGGAAAGTCACTTATAGTCCACAATAACGCTATATGCATGCAAAACATCCCTTTTCTCGACGTATCATAGGTATCCACCCCTTCAACCCACAATTCCTTTAATTCTTCTATCAAGGGCTGCAAATATACATCAATATCATTTCCAGGACCCTTAGGACCAGGGATTAAGGTGGATAGTATGAAAAAAGGTTGTTTCATGCACATCCACCCTGGCAAGTTGTATACAGCAAGAACAACAGGCTATGTACTATGTGCAATACTCATAGTCCTAAATGGGTTGAAACCGTCTGATGCTAGGCCAAGTCTAACATTTCTAGAATCCCTAGAAAACTCTAGATACTTTTTGTCAAAATGATCCCACGCTAGAGAGTCAGCAGGATGTCTTAACTTTCCATCTTTTATGCGTTCTTCCTCATGCCATCGTATATCTAAAGCTGTCTTATTTGACATGAACAACCATTGAAGTCTTGACTTAAGAGGGAAATACCTTATAACTTTGGCTGGAATTTTTGTCTTTTTGATGGGGGTGATGTACTTGTACTGCCCTCGGAATGAGTGTCAAAATCCTTCCAGTACAACATACAATCAAAGGGACATGCATCAATCTTATCATACTTAAGACCTAAGTCACTAATTATCTTTGTTGTCTTGTAAAAAGATTTTGGCAGTGTCTCACCTTCTGGTAGTACATCTTTCAAAAACATTAGTAACTCACTAAATGATTTATCAGTCCAATGATGCAAAGTTTTCAACAAATATAGTTTCACTATAAAAGACAATTTCGTAAAGTTTTTACACCCAGGGTATAGATCTGTTTTTCCATCATCTAGAAGCTTGTAAAACTTATCTGCCTTTTCATTAGGGCCCTGATGATACTCATTTTCCTTATCAGCTTATTCACCCATTTCATTTTGAATTCCAAAACCCTCATATAAGAGTTCGTGCATGTCATCATTATTTACATTGGAGTCGATGTGCTCGTATAAGGTGTGCCCATCATTATGCCTAGAAGACGAAGGTAATTGTTCTCTATGATAAATCCAAGTTGTGTATGTTTGGATAAACCCATTCCACATTAAGTCATCCAAAACTTCTTGTCGTGTTTTCTTGATACAATTCCCACAATTGTTACAAGGACAATATATGCGTCCACTCTGCCCAACTCGCTCAAACGATGTATTTAGAAATTGTTCAACTCCATTCGAGTATGTAGTACTTATCCTATTTATATAGTAAGAAAGACAAAAGTAAAAATGAATTTATTGTAAATATCTAAACCAAAATGAGAATTAAGCTTTATTTATTTATTATTTTTTTGAAAATTGACGAGACTAAAATTTAAAGTACCTTGACTCCGTAATCCAAATTCTGTCCATTATGATAGATTCTATAACCTAATGAAAGAAATTATATATGAATCTCTACAAAATAATAAATATATTACAACAAAGTTACAAAAGTAACAAAGTAATAAAAATTATTTATTATCCTCATGAAGAATAATACATATGAGAGAGAGTGTTGGTTTTAACGATAAATACAAGTTTAATGCATTGGATTTCTTTTCATTTTCCTTTTATAGTTTTCTTTTCCTTTTTCAGTTTTCAGTTTTCTTTTCCTTTTTCCTTTTCAGTTTTAATATATACAAGTTTACTTTAATTCATGACAAAAAGTTATGGCTTGACTAGTTAATCTGTTTTGTGAACACTAAAACCAAAAGTTAGGGTTCACATCCATAACAAAAGTTGCTGAAATTTAAAGAATACGACAAATTGGAGGAACCCATGTATCTCACTAATCAATGAATTCTTAAGAAAGAGACCCTATTAACATGAAACAAGCCACAAAAATACAAACTACAATATAAGAACAATAAAAACCCATATGTTTAGAAAACAAACAAGCCAAAGCAACAGAACCAACATGAAAGCCTCAAAATCATAAGCCTCCAAAATCGGCAACAACATACCAAAAATCGGCAACAACATTACCCTATTTCCTTCAAAAATCAGAAGCCCCAAATCGGCAACAACATACCAAAAATCGGCAACAACATTACCCTATTTCCTTTAAAAATCAGAAGCCCCAAAATTGGCAACAACGTACCAGAAATTATATATGTAGTAGTTGGAGCTGATTCGTTCAAGAAAGAGTAGAATGTAGAAAAACCCAAAATATATATGCAATTGTTCATCTTTAATTAGTTAATTAGTTAAGATATATATATATATGCATATATATGCAAAATATATAAGCTAATTAGTTAAGAGAGAGAGAGATAAGTAGAGCTCTTAAGAAGGGAGGGATTAGGGTTAGAAGTTTTTAGAACTAACCGTATGCCAACTGAACAACCACCACTATGCAGATCTCTAATGCGACACCAATCGGCCACCGCCGCCGTGATCTTCCCTGCGCCACACCAACTGCACCACCAAGGTTTGAAGCCGTGAGTCAGTGAGAGAGTAGAAGGGAGGAATAGAAATCGTGTGAATAGTAATATCCTCCCCTAAACGTGATTTTTAGGAAAAAAAATAATAATACATAAAATAATAACAATTAAATAAAAATTACATAATTTCTGGTATATTTTTTATACCCGCCGGAATTATTTAATTAATTTTGGCGCTTTTACAAACACTGCCGGAAATACTACATATATACCGGCCGTTTTTTATCATACCGCCGGTATAATAACCAATAATGGCAGTTTAATATAAACTGCCAGTAAAAATTAATTAACAGCGGCACACACATAAAAACTGCCGGTAAAAATGATATTTCTTGTAGTGAAAGCCTAAGATAATATGCTAACACACATTGATTTCAAGTTAGGTAAGGCAATGTGAATTAATCTTTCACTAAAAATAAATATTAAATAAAATCTTTAATACTTATTCAAATGTACTCAATTTAATATACGTCAATGACCATATTATGGAGTAATATAATACCATGCTACATGTTCAAAACAAGTTATGAGCAACCGGGAAAATCAAATCCAATACAAGAAAAATAAATACTAAAATCTCTAGATTTCATATTTAAGCATGTAATCAAGTTGGATATGCATCAATAGCATACAATATAATAAGAATTAAACCTATAACAGCCCCCACCTCAATTTGAGATGAAAATCTCAAAGGCCCACCGAAAAAAAAGTGTTCCGAACCCGACGATACCGAAGGGTTTTGTCGGGGACAACACCGTGGACAAGAATCCGCAAGAAGCCCCATGAAAATCACAACTTGACTTCAAACTTGAACTCAAAAAGTGGTCTGAAACGGGTTCTAATAAGGGTATAAGGTAGAACACGTCGAGGGGAACAATAAATGTTAAGGCCGAAGGATTTCTACCAAGGAAAAGTGGACCAAAAGAAGAGAGAGAAGGTGGTAGCCATGGCTACCATGGATTCCAGCCAGAAGAGAGGGGAGAGAGAGAAAAGTCTGACTTTTTCTCTTAAGGCCTCCTATTTATAGAAAATCTCAAAAAGTGCCCCGAAAGGGTTCCGCTAGGTCTAGAAAAGTGGAATTTGAGCAGACGCACTCAAACGGAAAAAATCTATGAATGAAAAAGATTCACAATGATAAAATATGAATAACGGAAGAAACGACGTTAAAAACTGAGTTCCGAGCAGAGAGATATGCCTCGAACAAGTTCGGCGGCAACCGGGGTCAAAAACTCTGAAACTAGATAAAAACGACCAGAACGGAATTCTATAAGTACACGACTCGACGAAATGTGAAAATGAGTCCCGTACAAGAATCCAAGCTACAGACGAGGTATTTAGCAATAACTTTCGTTAATTGCACAATGACCTCTACAAGAAGGGTTAACTGCAAAACTGCCCCTGAAAGAAAATATATTCCAAAAGATATTTTCTTAGATACCCCTGAAATAAAATATCTTCAAAAGATATTTACAAAAAACACCCCAAGAAAAGAAAATAATTCCAAAGAATTGTGCATCCATACCCCTATAGACACCGGGAGCAACCAGAGTACTTTCTTGAAAAAGTGAAGATGCGTATTTCGTGGAAACCACGCAAGATCAAGATATGTGAAGTTAAAAACTAACTCCGAGCATGAAAAGTGAAGTTGTGCCAAAAACTGACAAACGGGAATAAGACAGAATAGGGAAAAGAACGAAATAGTGTATAGTGTTGAAAAACGAAAAATGTGGAAATGACTCGGTCCTTAAAAGAAGTTGTCAATCCATGGAAAAGAGTCTCAGAAATCATTTCCAACCACTTGAGGAGACACTAAGCGACAAGAAATAGAGTTCAGAAAAGAAAATTAAACGAAAAAAATTCATTCGTAAAATTTCAGGAAAAAAGAAAGGAAGGGAAATTTCCGGGTCATTACATGGCTTGTGGATTATTTTGAGACTCGTGCTTGCAAAGATCCTTCATTTTTCTATTCCTTGCAACTAGATACTGAGCAAATGATTACGAACATATTCTGGTCAGATTGTAGAATGATAATTGATTATGGCCATTTTGGAGATGTTATCAGTTTCGACACAATGTATAAAGTAATACACGGCAACAGACCATTTGTAATTTTCTTGGGTATGAATCATCACTAGGAGACCACTGTGTTTGGAACAGCCTTAATGTATGATGAGATAGCGGATTCGTTTGTCTTGTTATTTGAAACGTTCTTGAAAGTGATGGGCGGAAAAGCACCAAAGACGATTATTACGGATCAAGACATTACAATGGTGAAGGCATTAAAATAGGTGAATAACTTTCATGCATCTCCATTCTTGTCACTTTCATGCTGAGACAATCCTATTATTTCAGTCGTATTTTTTGGATTTGCAATATTGTAACACGGGTATTAAGTTAATTAATCTTGCAGGTCATGCCGGTGATGAAGCATCATTTATGTGTTTGTCACTTAATGAAGAATGCGCAAAAGAACCTACTATTTCTGTTTAAACGCGTTGAAGGAATAAAGAAGGTCATCTCAAAATTAATGTTCCAAATTAAGGAAGAGGATGATTTTATCAGGGAATGGGATTTAATGATTGCAGAGTATGGTGTTGCTGGTAATAAGTGGCTTTCCACTTTGTTAGATTTGAGACATAAATAGGCCCTGACATTTTTCAAACACGACTGGTCTGCAGGAATGAGTAGCACGTAATTGAGTGAGAGCTTCAATGGTCAATTGAAGTATTACCTTTTTAGACAACTTATTCTACCAGAATTTTTCACACACTTTGACAGATTGTTGTCAGACAAATGGTACAAGGAGTATGAAGCCGAATATGGCTTGGTGGAGAGGCAACCGGAACTAAAAACAAAGTGCCACATATTACGTCAAGCGGGGAAGGTGTACACGATGGCAATATTTTAGCTTTTCCAGGAGGAGTTTTTAGTTGCTCTTGCGAGTCAGGCTGTTTTAGTTGCAATGACTTGGATAACAATGGACACCGTGTTTATAAAGTTGCTGGTGAGGATGGGGTGCAACATCATGTGAGCAGGACATTTGAAGATGAATTATCATGCTCATGTTGTAAATTTGAAAGAGAGGGTTATTTGTGCAGGCACGGTTTGAAAATCCTTAAAGACTGCATGTTTGTGAATGAGTTGCCTTCCTTATATATAATAAAAAGGTGGACTAGAAATGCTAGAGATGGCAGGTTGGAGGAAATTGTTTCCACTGATGTGAATCTGGATCCTCAACTTGAGATTAGGTGACGGTATAGGATACTTTGTCGTATACTGACTGAAATATCTTCCATTGCATTGCACGATCCCAAAGGATATAATGATTTATTAGAAAAAGCACTAGATTAGAAAAAAAACAATACAAATAAGTTGTGGTCGTAGGTTTGTAGAGAAAATTGCAAGGGGTAAGGGAGAAAAAAGGGTGAAAAGCAGCAGTGGAATAATTCTTATGTCCCTGAAAGTTGAAGATACCTCTAAAGGATGATTTAAAAGGTTGAAACCAGCCATAGGGTTAAATAGTGGGAAAAGGAGGAAGTCAACGAAAGCAACAGGCCAGGTATACGTTACTATCGCACGCATGGCTATTTCATTGTTTAACTATTTGAGCATGCGAATAAAATAAATTCGATTTCATAACATTATATCCTTCATCATAAAACACTCGTGAGTAGAAGAAACTAAAATTTTTTATGTTTTAGATATCAAATGAAACCGTTATTTTGGGAGAGGTAGGTGGCAACGATAAACCGTCAACCCCATCCAACATGTAAGTGAATGTGAGTATTATTGCAAGTATATTATATATAAGCAGTTACTATTCATAACTATTGGTTAACATGTTGATTATGTTTAAAAGTGCATTGACAGTGTTTATATGAAATATTTTAGAGTGCAGAAATTCCCGTCCAATTTCTAAATGAAAAATCTAACGTAACACCACCAGCTGTATTGCACAACAGATAACTTAATATTGGTGAACCATGTATTTCATCAACTTACCATGTAAGTGTGTTAATTAAGATACATTATTTTCTTTATTTTTTCAAAATGGACCAAATTTTTTTTACATCTAAACAATTAATTACAAAGGTCACATGGGATATATCCCACACCAAACATTGCCCAGACGAGGCAACATTAGAAAAAGTCCCACTAAAACCTAATGCAAAACATTGATGTAGATCAGTTGGAATATTATCCATTTTCCGTTGACTTGCAGCAATAAAATCCCTAAAACTCTTGATCGAAAACTGTATGTGATTAAAAAATTGACATCATTTTGCCATTACACCAAGAATAAAGAAAAATGTTAATGTCAGTTCCTTTTTCCAATAACATGCTTACAGTTGATCTTCATGAAGTCCCCCAAATAACAATTATACTCTTCCATATAGAAGAATCTGAAACCTTTGGAATGACCTGCCAAAAGGATGTATTCCTTAGGTAACATGAACAATGTTTATACCCAACCACCGAAATCCTATCTTTGGACAATGAATAATCCGAAGCTAATACACAGTTTTTAGGTAAATCAATATCCAAAACTCTTCTCACCCCAAAACCACCTTCTTCTTTAGGAGCAGCAAACTTCGTCCATTTTAAATTCCTCGTATCTTCATAATATTTTCA